GGCCTAGATAACACCGTACACAGCTTTTGACCAGGACACTAGGTGTACCTGAAAACCTGGAACGAAGAACCTTTGAAAGAGCGTTGGAGAGGACCTTTCCAAGTCCTTTTAACTACTTATACAGCAGTTAACCTCAACAGAGTTGGATCTTGGATTCACTATGCTCAAGCCAAGAGGGGAATCCCACCAGGTAAATGGACTGTGGAGTCCACTGGAAAGAATCCTTTGCAGTTACAATTGAAGAAAATTAAGTAGATGAATTGTAATGAATTGTACCTAGGTCACTGTAGAACCTTATCTTTATATTGATTGTGTACAAAATTCTACTTTATTGGGTATTGAGATTACAATATCCTTTTGCCTCTTTTGTATATATTTGTGTAACTATGAGCTGGTTTACCCTGGGCTTGTTGCTGTTAAGCGGTATAGTCAGCCTCACCTCCATCCCTGGAAAGATGATGGAACAGCTCATTCTGGGCGTCATCTCCAAGCATCTGGATGCAAAGAAGGTTATCAGAAGTAGTCAACATGGATTCACCAAGGGGAAGTCATGTCTGACTAATCTGATAGCCTTCTATGACAAAGTAACTAGATGGGTGGATGAGGGGAGGGCAGTGGATGTTGTCTACCTTGACTTCACCAAGGCTTTCGACACTGTCTCCCACATCATCCTCACAGGCAAGCTTAGGAAGTGTGGGTTAGATGAATGGACAGTGGGGTGGATTGAACAGTGGCTGACACATATAGCTCAGAGGGTTGTGGTTAGCAGTGCAGAGTCTAGTTGGAGGTCAGTAACAAGTGGTGTCCCTCAGGGGTCAGTACTGGGCCCAGTCCTGTTCAATATATTCATCAATGACCTGGATGAAGGGATAGAGTGTACCATCAGCAAGTTTGCTGATGACACAAAACTGGGAGGAGTGGCTGACAGGCCAGAAGGCTGTGCTGCTTTACAGCGTGACCTGGACAGGCTGGAGAGTTGGGCAGAAGATGATTAGGGGATTGGAACATCTTTCATATGAGGAAAGGCTGAGGGACTTGGGTCTTTTTAGTCTAGAGACAAGAAGACTGAGGGGGGATCTTATCAATACTTATAAATACTTAAAGGGAGGGTGCCAGGGGGGTGGAACAGGCTTTTTTCCGTGGTGCCCAGTGATAGAACCAGAGGTAATGGGCACAAACTTGAACATAGGAAGTTCCATCTTAACATGAGGAGGAACTTCTTTACTTTGAGGGTGGCAGAGCACTGGCACAGGCTGCCCAGAGAGGTTGTGAAGTCTCCCACGCTGGAGACATTCAAAACCCACCTGGACACCGTCCTGTGCAACCTGTTGTAGGTGACCCTGCTCTGGCGGGGGGGCTTGGGCTAGATGATCTCCAGAGGGCCCTTCCAACCTGACCATTCTGTGATTCTGTATGCACTCATTCTCCTGAAAATTCGAACAAAGGAGTTCCCATTATGGGAATACCCATTCCATTTAGTACTTCCTGGGATAACTTACGGATTGGGTCAGATTTTATGAAACTGGAGAACCTAGACTTTCAAAAGGGGGACATAAAGAACCTGAAATTCCCTGATGTTAAATGCATAACAACAAATAAAACTCTGTCACCTGTATCAGTAGGACACTATCCATATTGCAGCTGGTTTATACAATTGCAAGGAAAGGCTAAAACAACCAGATACTGGTCTACTCCAAAAGGAACTGAATGGTATTTCTTATGTGGCCATAGAGCTAGAAAAACTTTACCTTCAAATTGGAAAGGGTCTTGCACTTTAGGAGCTTTGATCCCCAATGTAACTGTAATTGACAAGTTAGAGAAAAACTTCTGGATTAGATCTTGTATGAAAATACAAAAAGAAGCAATCCTTTATTAGAAAGGCCAACAGGATTTCACTCTTCTGTTAGATAGTTTATACTTTGGTTATGAGTAAGTGAATTGGAAAAAGCAATTGTGACTATTTTGGCTGAATTAGAGAACATAGAAAATAAAACCATGGATGCAATTACTGCATTACAGGAAGAAATCTGTTAAGTGAGTGAAATAGCTTTACTAAATGGAATGGCTTTGGATATGCTGCTGGCCTCACAAGGGGGAGTTTGTATAGTGATAAACACTAGTTGTTGTGTTTATGTTGATCAATCAGGGAGAATTACTACTGATCTACATGAAATCTGGAAGCACACTAGAGTTTTGCATGAAATACAAACAGATGACACCTCTTTCGGATTTCAAGAAGTATGGTCTTGGTTAACCTCCTGGATTCCTGATTTGTCTTTGTGGATCAAGAAGCTAATAGGGGTATTGATGTTAGCCGTGAGCATATTTTAGCTAGTTTTGTTAGCATTAAAGTTAGCAAGGCTTGTTAACCATTGGCATTAGCTGAACTTTTGATATAGGGTCTTCCATACGAGCATTTCGTTGTGTACTCAGCCAGATGGTTGGCCTTGGGGATGTTTCTTTACAAGTGCTGGGGAGGAACTTCTAAGACATTTTCACAGATAACAAGGATTCTATCCTTGAATCCATAGTGAAAGAACTCCTCATCAGGGAAAGCAAGTATTGTTATCGTTCTTGAAGTGAAACATCCTGGAGCATTTGAGCATACCAACCCTGAAAATGCTACTAATCTACATGTTTTGAAACTTGGCAGAAAAGTGAAAATTCTGAGTGTCCTAAGCCAAACTGCCTTCATTATAATACCAAAAATCATGCCCATAGGTCAAGAAGACCCTGGCCCAGGTGAAGACCTCTCCCCTGAGCTATATGATAGGTATAACTCAATCATGCAATCAGATGTAAATTACTAACCAAACAAATAGAGATAGGAGGTACTAATATGATAATGATATTGTAAAATGTGTATATAAACCGTGCAGAGAGTCCTGTTCTGTGTGCATGTTTTGTGGAAATATTCCACCTTGCACCCTGGCCAGAATAAAGCAATGTCTGCTCTCTAAACATAGTCTCTGTGTTTCAGGAAAATTGTAACTTTAGCCTTTTCATAGGTAACAGTACTGCTGTGCTTGCTGAACACAAATTATGAAAGAAATACAAAGTGTGTTACAATGAGCTTTTTACCATCTACTTTGATTTTTTTTTTCAATTAAAAAAACCCCCAAACATCCTCAATTAAAATATTTTGTAGGCATAGCAAAACAAAGCCTCCAACTAGGAATTAAAACTGACTTCAGTTCCTGGCTTTGCCACTGACTGTCATCAACTCCTAAGTTTCAAGTTTTCTCATTGGTGGAGCAGGAACGGTCCTCACTGCCTTAACACAGTGCTGTGGTTCCTCAGACAAAAACATGCTTCTCTAAGAGTAGCATTAAAGTACAATCTATTATATTCTTTTATTTAAAGATATTTTCCTCTTTAAAAAGGCAAATTCAAATCAGAATGAGTCACTGTGTGTTGTTTAAAAATTCACTTTAAATATGCTAGCGTCCCCTTTGGCTCTTGAGTATCTAAGAAGACCTGCAACCAGATTTTAATTTCAGTCCTACTTCCTGCTCTCAGCCAGTTTCCTGTGACTTGAGGGCAGCTAAGCTTTACATACTAAAGTTCATAAAACTTGTTTTTTAAAAAAATTTCATCAGATCATCAAGCCACCCACTATTGCAGCCTACTCTTGCTACTTGTGGAAGTTACTCTCCTTTCTCTGTCCCCACCCACAGTCACAGAAGAGAAGCTGATACAGACAAAACTAGAACAGAGGCAGAGGTAAAAATATGAATTTTAATTGAGAGCATTTAGTGTATTTACAATAGAAAGTTTCTCTCTGGTCAAGGGACAAGAGATTAAAAAAAGAAGTCCACATTACAAATGTGTGGACAACCTGCACCTGATGCAGGCTAATTGATTTTTGCTATTTCTCCTTCACCCAAGGTAATACCTGTGAGAAAGTGATGGTGAGAGCCTAGAGATGGTACCGAATGGCTCTCACACCCAAGTAGCAATCACAGAATGCAGTCCAGGAAGTAGTGTGAGTTATTCAACAGTTGCTAAAAATATATATATATATATATTTATGTACACAGACACAGTCCCATTTGTAGTTAGATCAGATTCAGCGAATCATTCAGAGATAGAGAAGCAGGTAGACACAAGCCTACCGACCTGTGTGCAAGGCACAGATCTGCAGAGGCGCTCACACCACCAAGTACGTAGGTACCTTCTCAGCCAGACAGATGCACGCATTCCTTCCCACTCCGCACTTGGACAAATACACAGGCAGGTGTTTTGTTAATGCTATCTTACATGGTTTCTAGGAAAAAAAAACTTGAGAAAAAAGCACCAGTCCTCTCATCTGACTCACTGGCTCAGAATCCATATTCCTCTTGAACCTGAGGGAAATGGTGGGGATGGGGAAAGGATAACGTCCTTCAGTTTCTTGCAGAGCCTCCACTTCTGAATCTCCCAGACTCTTTTGCCACAGCAATAACTAGTTGATACCGAAAGGGGGCAATCCTCTCCTGCTCCCAGAAACGGGTGAGTCAGATTTAGCAATCAAAAGGCTGCAATGTGAGCCAGTTACACCACCAGATCTTGCAGAAAAATAGATCTGCAAAAAGTAAGCAAGTACTTTACCATCTGAACAAACAGCTTAACCAAGTTACCCTACAAATTTACTCAGCACACGGTGGGTGGAGCACCACCCGTTTCAGCAACAACTTGCTGGTAGAGTGGCTGAACTATCAAGTCACTCTGAGCTCCTGTTTTTATCTTGGTCAGAGTCCACACACCACTTCCTTTATAAGGTGCTTTCCCTCCTTGGGAAAGCACTTGTTGCAGAGGTCTGTCTTTGCTTAAAGGCGTTGAACTACATGGTGACTGAGAAGCAAACCTCAGCCTTCCCCCAGCATCATCTGGTGCTGTCTCCAACAAACCCAGCTGAGTGTTAGAAAGATAGGGAGATACAGGGAAAGGAAGGCAGGAAAGGAAGGGAGTTATAATCCTCCCTTAACAGTTATAACTAGGGGAACTAAAGCAGAAATAGATTAAAGATGGTTGTGGAGGCTGCAAGGTTGAGGAGAGTTCTGGTTTAGCAAAGCCTCTTGAATAGCTTCACTGCAGCCACTCAGCTCCATCTGGTTGAGAACACAGCTGATGTGCTCCACAGTTGCAGCATGGCCCATCTGCAGTTTCCACAGTCTAAGCATTTCATACTGGGCATCTCGTAAACGCCGATGCTCCATCTCAATTCGCTCTAGATCATAGTCACTCAGACCCAGACGCCTCACAAACTCTTTCCACCGAGATGGTGGTACATGATCTACCACAGCGTAGAGAATAGCAGGATCTGTAAAAAGATTAAAAACGAAGTGTGAGAACTAGGACTGTGCAGCCGCAAAGAGAATGTGAATAATCCAGGGCTGGATGGTGCCTTGGGATCATGCATTGTCCTCTCCTATTCAGGTCTTCTACACAGTAGTCACGCAGACCTGTGTGATATCCAGACTTGCTCTTAACCCTCAAAAAGCCATGGGATACTTCCGTATGCTCTTGTGTAAGGTTATGAACAGGGCTGAGCACACATGCTTAGGGCCTCACTGCCACACATGCCTGACAAAAGAAAGCTCTGGGTCACCATCCCAGAGGCATTAAGACTGACAGCATATCACCACATATGACAATCCATTTTGCTGGTAGTGAAATAGGACAACAGAAAGGCCTTGTGTAAATGTTTAACATATACAGGCTCACAGTGTCTGGGCATGCTTCTGCCTTTGTATTGTGCCACGCATGAATTATACACACAGGTGATGTGCACCGGGTAAGGTCTGTCCAACATCCTCCTAGCTGCATCTGCATAATCAGGTTCTCATTTGCCTGGGGAAGGAGGGAAATATGGGGGAGTTTCACTTACTGTCTGGAAGCTGCGTCTTCCTGGCAGGTCTGACACAGTCTGGTAACTCATGTGAACTTTGTGGCAGAGGTGCAGGTGGTGGTGGTGTATTCACTGACAATTCTGTTTCCTTCTGGGACTCAGGAAGAAGGATGGAAATTTCACTTCTTTTTACTTCAACCTGAAAGACACATTTTTGTAGTCTAGAATCACCCACAGCAGCACAATACACCTGTCTCCTGCAAGGAACCACTAGCTTTCTATACTAAAATTTATTCAAGATAGGTGGGGAGCAGGTCCTGAGGTTTTAATTCTCCACATATGCCTCGTTTGACCAGAAGGCACTAAACATTTCTTTCCAGTAGAACCCAAGGAGTTTAAATCTCTTCTGGCATCAAAAAACAGTAATCTGGAAAAAATACTCCTTTACAAAATCAAGTAAGGGTGGGACCTGAAATCACCTCCATTCTAGAAGCTCCACATGCCACCTTTCCCATCAGCCTTCTCTGCAAGGCTGTAGAAACCCCACCTCAGCTACTGCTTGGACCCTCTTAATTGCAGAACAACATTGGAACAGAGGAAACACTACAAAGTGGCACTGAGAGGCTTATGAGGTCAAGATCTGAAGTGACATAAAATTAGTTAAATCCTCCAAGCTTGGGGTATATAGGGGGAAAAAGGTATTAAGGATCTGCTATCTGAAAAAAAATACATCCAGAAAGAAAGAAAAAAAAACAAAACAAAAAGCCAGGAGTTTGAAAAGCATCCCCTAAAAGAGGGGAAGTAAAATGTTAATGGCTCCACCCTCTACAGGAAAAGACTTCTGAATTAAATAGCCCTATTACTCAGCTCTTTTGACAATACAAGGCCGGAGAACAGCCCACAGGGAAAAACGTTACTCTGGATCCCAGGCTAACATAGTTGAAAGCGGAAGGAAAGCTCATACCCATCATCTTGCTCACCTCACATACTGGATCCTTGGTTGTCTGCGGCATAGAAACTTTGAAGAAAACAAGAAAGAAAAAAGAAAGCAAAAATTATTTTCACTTCCTCTCTTCCCAGAGAAAACAGGAAAGCAGCTATTCACAGTCCTGCCCTCAAAAAGGTTTTAGAGCAACATGCACATCTCCCAGCAATAAGCTCACGTGCAATTCCAGTCACAACGACAGGCACAGATGCAGAGTCGTAAGAACTGCACCAATAAGCTTAGCTGTTGAGTTCTTGTGTTCCTATGGCCTTGCAGCAAAGCAGCGTAATGGGATCCCACTTTTTTCCTCACACGTGTGCACATACACACACACACACAGACAGAATGATGTCTATCCCAGTTAATATCACCGTATACGCTGCTATACTCACCACAGGAGTAGAAAGACGATGCTATCCCATTTTCCCGGACGAGCTTCACTACTTTATTTACAACGTAGAGGACAGAGATAACTCCAAATATTGCAACGATGATGCCAAGGACAAGGCTCCCATCTGGACAAAAGGGAGAGGATGAATGAGTGAGTGACTGAGAAAGGAAGAGGTTAAGTGCTAGAGGAAGAACACGTCAAGACATGCAAATGGTAGGGAGAAAAAGAATAATGGTTTGAGAGAATGGAGAAAATAACACTTGACAAGGTGTTAACAGAACAAAAGCCCGCACTGAAAAGATTCCACTGTCCCTCAGTTGCCCCGGTACTCACTCAGCCCAGAGGAAGTCGGTGAGGTAGTCACTGGGCTATGACACTGCAGGCATTCTTCTCCAATGCAGCTGTGCAAGCAAATCAGAGAGGTGAGTGTGCACGAAATGAAACACCAGCCATTTGTTACAATCCTAAGTAAGAGAGAAGTCAAGATGAGCCTGCAAAGCAGAGCAATGCAGTGTGGCTAGTGACTTTGGGTTCCTAGAGGGCTGACATGGAGAAGACTGGGGGTGACAGAGGGGAAGACCCAATTGCCCCAGAAAGGCAGGATGTTGTGAGGTTATGTCAAGATGGACAGAGCCTTGAGAAAAATTTCGTCCCCCTGTGGCGCTTGTGTCTGCTGTCTCTCCTACTCAGTGGAGGGGCATACAGAGGAAAAAAAGCTCACCTGTTGCAATGCTTGCAAACGTTACTAAGTGTCAGAAAGTATCGAGGCTTACACCTGCAAATTGTGTCTCTGTCCTTTGAACCTGTAAAGGAAAGAAGAAACCTTAGCCATAATCTGGATAGAGAAGAAAACAAACGGAGAAAAATCCGCTCCAAGGTGGGTGGGAGATTATCCCTCTTTGAGCCTGGAGAACTACTACTGAAGAACTGAAAGAAGATTTCGTCTACTTTTAGGACAGGGTTGGGTGTGGATAAAAATAATAAAAAATAATGGCACCGCTGTTCTGCTAGGTCAGGGACCTCTGAAGAGGCTTAGAAAAGGACTAACATTACAGTGCAGCTGAAATTGGTCTAATGGATAATGACAGTTCCAGCGCAAAAGTGGGGAAAGTCACTCAAGTTCAAGTGTGACAGGAAGGAGAAATCACATTAGTCAGGCAAAGATGAGGGAGAAGTGGTCCCTGAGCAGCTGAGACTGGTGAGGAAGTCGGTTCAGGGCAGGGAGAATTACTTCAAGCCATGGGACACATATCCACTCTTGTGATCTGCAACACTGTGAGCGGAAGGGGTAAGAAATTAAAGAGCTACTGCTTCTAAGCAAGTCACAGTATGGAGACTGAGTAAAACAGGCATGGGGAGAAGCAGAAAAAAGTAGTGATGGAAGTGATAAAGTTGCATGGGGGGGTGGGGGGGGAAGGTACTTGAACAAGCAGAATGCATTCTTGTGGCAAGTGAGGGACAGGACTAAAACAGTTCTACATCAGCCAAGGGGGAAGGAAATTGTTCAAGGGTGGTATACGATGATGACCCTTGATAGGTGCAAGCATGGGAACCGTGACAGAGAAAGATTACTGAGCACCACGGGGAACACATTCACCAGTGAGACAGCAAACCTCATCCTAGGCAGGGTAAGAGGGAAAGGGATTGGGAGAAGCAGAATTTGCTTCTCCTTTAGGACAACAAGGTAAGGAGCATTTAAGGGACATGAACAGAATTAGACCACAACACAAAGTGGAGCGCAGCGAGCAGCATTTGGTTAAGATCTCTGATGCCTGACTGGAGATGAGGCAGCTTGGGACAGCTAACGTGGGTACTTCTCCCAGACACCTGCACCATCCCCAAGTCACACCCAATGCCACTGGGTACTGTTCAGCATTACCTGAGCAGCTCTGTACTTCAGAACACTGCACAGTACACTGTGGTGGTTCAGCAACCAACAACCAGTTCAGCTGAGCACTGGGACCATTCTACTCAAACTGCTTCCAGCAGTTAGTGAGGGAAATGCAATGAGCATCAGGAGAAATACCCACACAAAGACAAAAAAGGAAGGTAAGGGGGAAATCTGCTCTAGACCTCTGCGTAAAGACCTTGCTGCAGTATATGCAAGGCAGAGGTACCAAAATTAAGTAGAAAATATCTCCTCACAACAGCCAAAACCGAGAAGCCATTCAAGGATAAAATGAAGGTAGAAACTGACAGAAAACAGGGATTAATGTCAAGGCAGGCAAAAAAATTGCAGTCTTTCTGGGGAAAGGGCGCAGGCAAAGCCAAGAGTTGTTCCAAAACCACAACCACGTCAGGGCAAGGTACTGCAGCCTGTCAGAAAGTGAACAGAGGGGCTGTTAATGTCTACCCTAGTACAGCATGTCCATACTGGAGCCATATCAATGCCATACTCACAGTTGGCAATAATCCCATTGACACATGAGCTACAGTTCTTACACCGGAAGAGATCCAACATGCCAATCTGGTATTGATTCTTCCGACAGCCACATACGGTATCTTGCTTTGGGGTGCAGGGGGCCTCTACTATCTGCTGGAATTCTAAGGAAAGAAAGAAGAAGGGATTATTCCAACCTCTTCCTTCACCTTCAGTTGAGAGCACTGTTAAAGTGACAGGCATTGTTATCCCATAGTCTTCCCAGAAAAACACCAAAAAGGCGTACAAATTTCAGCAAGTTTCAGTTGTGAATATTCATGCTGTCCCCAATCCCTTCCTGTACACTCTCCTTCTGCCCATTCAATTGCTTACTTTTCCAAGCTTCCTCGCTCACCATTCCACCCTCCCCAGCTCCCCACACTCCACTAACACCCATTTTCCTCAGGTCCTATAGATAACTCACCTGTACGGCAATGTGTACACTGGAAGCATTTAGACATGGTGTTATCAACAGCTGTGAATGTGCCATTAGCACACGGAAGACAGACAGGTGCCTGGTCAGGATGATCACAGTCTTTTGCCTTGTAGGTACCTGCAAGAAAATAACTTAACAGAACTCTGACAGGAAGGCAAATGCATTATCTTAGGGAGGATGGGAGTCACTGATTCCTCAGAGAAACCCTGGAGTTGCTTCCTCTCACCGGCGTGAAGGACACTGACAGCCCAAAAGAAGAGACAAGGAGTAAGAATTTATCTGGGTAGGGATAGGTACCAAGGAAAGTGAGCAGTGATGTAGCTGTAGGGCAGAGATAGTTTGAGAGTGCAGGACAGGGAAATGCCTCTAAGGTGAAGGTCACTATTACTGTACTTATTTTACGTACCTGCATGGCACCTCATGCAGCAGTGGGTCTCTCTGGGATGTAGGTATTGTCCTAGCTGACACTGCACCTGCCTCTTTTCTCTCCTCAGGGAGCTAGAGGGGTCTCTTCCATCCAAAGCTACCTGATGGACTTGCAGTGTATATGGCACTGGAGCAATTTCTACAGACTCCTTTGTCAACACGCAGACAAATGTTAGGATAACCTGTAAATAAAGAGGGAGAGGGAACAAAAGGGAAAGAAAGAGGGAGAGAAACAATGTGAGAAAACATTATATCTCCTTGCAGACTGCACAGCTGATTTCAGCACTTACTGTTAAATCTTATTCAATAGACTTGACCAATTTTGATATCAGGACCTTCCGCTGACAAAAGCAGGGGGGGAGATTATTTACCAAAAAAAAAACCCCAACAACAAACCCATGCCTTTCATCTGTGCTATTAATATGGCATACAATGGTCTCTACGACAAACTGCGTAAAGCAAATACTTTTCATGATGTGCAATTTATAGATGGAATGCCTTGAAAATGCTGCAGCTTGCAAGAAAGTTACTCAAGAGCAAAGGAATGTTTTTATTAAGGAAGGCAGTAAGACTGCCCATTTAGAAACAGTTCCAGAAGGAAGAATGCATCCACTACTTACAGTTCTACTGAATAAATAAACCAGACAGGAAGTCTGGAATAAGAAGGCAGAGAAAGATTTCACTGCATGCAAAGTACAGAAAAGCTTCCAAAACTCCTCCTGCGCAAGCCAGCCCTAAAATGTGGGGAAGTTAGGTTTTCAACTTCTCCCCCTGACAAACGTACATTCTGGGACCTGTACTGTTCAATATCTTTGTCGGCAACATGGACAGTGGGGTCAAGTGCACCCTCAGCAAATTTGCTGATGATACCAAGCTGTTTGGCAAGGTAGACAAGCTGGAGGGGAGGGATGCCATCCAGAGGGACCTGGACAGGCTGGAGAGGTGGGCCCAAGCCAACCTCATGAAGTTCAACAAGGCCAAGTGCAGAGTCCTACATCTGGGTCGGGGCAATCGCAAGCACAAAGGCAGGCTTGGCAGGAAGGGCTGGAGAGCAGCCCTGAGGAGAAGGACCTGGGTGTGCTGATTGACAAGAAGCTCAACATGAGCCAGCAATGTGCGATCGCAGCCCAGAAGGCCAACCGTATCCTGGGCTGCATGAAAAGACGTGTGGCCAGCAGGTCAAGGGAGGTGATTCCGCCCCTCTACTCCACGCTCGTGAGACCCCACCTGGAGTACTGCATGCAGCTCTGGAGTCCCTGACGTAAGAAGGACATGGACCTGCTGGACCATGTCCAGAGGAGAGCCACGAGGATGATCCAGGGGCTGGAGCACCTCTCCTATAAGGAGAGGCTGAGAGAGTTGGGGCTGTTCAGCCTGGAGAAGAGAAGGCTCCGGGGAGATCTTATTGTGGCCTTCCAGTACCTAAAGGGAGAGCTGGGGAAGGACTTTTTACTAGGGCATGTAGTGATAGGATGAGGGGGAATGGCTTTAAACTGGAAGAGGGCAGGTTTAGATTAAACATTAGGAAGAAATTTTTCACTCTGAGGGTGGTGAGGCACTGGAACAGGTTGCCCAGAGATGTTGTGGATGCCCCATCCCTGGAGGTGTTTACGGCCAGGCTGGACATGGCCTTGGGCAACGTGGTCTAGTGGGAGATGTCCCTGTCTATGGCAGGGGGGGTGGGACTCTATGATCTTCAAAGTCCTTTCCAACCTAAACCATTCTATGATTCCTTTTAAACTGCAGCTGTTAACATTCAGTCTGAAGTCTGCCATAAAAATGTGCACTTTTGTCTTTTTTTTTAAATTCCTTTAAGATTTACTTAGTTTTTTTTTCATTTGTAAGACCACTGTTGTCAAGAATTTTAACAGAAATATTAAGATAGGCATGACTGCAGTATGACTGTAAGAGTGTGTGTACACACACACGAGAAGGAACAGCAGAACAAAGGGTTAAAAGAACAGCCTGTACGATAATGAAGGACGCCAATGCCTGGATACTGTTTTCAGGATACTATTCCCAGCAGCGAATTTGAGAAATGTACCGTTTATGTCATGGCCAAAAGGTCTACACTCTGGTAGGACCACAGCATAGATGACTCATCAGCAAAAGACCCTGTATCAGGAGGATGGTAATGAGATTGCAGCATATCACAAACACGATTCTTTTGCCTATTGGCCCAACAGAAAAACTGACCCTAGGCATGTATTTCAAACATGCATTCAGACAAGGAAAAAACATACAGTGACCAAAAGGTTAAAAAAAAACCCAAAAACAAACCAAACCAGGAAATAACTTGGCCCAAAGTTTATGGAGCCTGAAGTCAGCAAGTTTCTACGGCAAAGGCCCATCCCATACCAGCTGATGACTCCCGAAGGGTATGATGGACTTGCCCAAAAACTAGCTGTAGTGCCATGAAGAACCCTAGCGGTGCGATGAAGACTTGACAGCCAGTGTCCCTTGTCATCTGTGCTGCACACAGGGATCCTGGCCATGCCATCTGGACATACGCATGTTGGCACATCTGCGTATGCCAATTCCGTGTGTGCCAATACAGTCTATGCATCAGATTGTGTGAATGCATGAAAATCAACACATTTTTTTGCAAATAAATACCACCCCATCCATACAATCTCACACTGAGTTTTACTACACTAACTTCCCTACATCGTATTGTTTTCCCAGCTTGCTTTAGAAAGTGGAAAGGTGCCTAGCTGTATAGACACAGCTTCAGAGTTCCTTTTCTTTTTGCTTTTTCAGCTAGGAGAGGTATAGCAAAAGCAAAGTAAACCAATAAGGGTAAACCACAGTGCTGATACTAATTTTGTGGTTGCAAGCTTAAGAAAAGATATGCAAAATGAGATGGCTATGCCAGCCCCATGCTGTCCTGTTTCTCTCAAACTTAAAGCACTAGGGGAGAAAGGTACATACATGAAAGCAACTCAAAACCTCAAGAAGGATAAGACTTTGCAAGTCTTGACAAAGCCAAAACCCCGTTTTTCAGAGTTCTATCATACAAAGACATTTTTAATAGACCAGAGGCTAAAATGGTGAGCAGAAAAAAGAAACCCACATATTTAAATAGCTATCATTTCAGACTTAATTAGCTGACCACAGGATAAATGCGAGCACTCCAACAACTCAGTAAAGAATAAAACTCGTTTCAGCAGCTGGTAGTCTTACAAGACTGATTGCCTGCAGGAAAATGGGTAAAAGATCATTCACACAGATGGTCTGACAGCAGCAATTTAAAACTCCTGATTCTCTAGCCAATGATTAATCCCCTGATATGGGAATATATACAGCCAGCCCATAAATCAGACAAGTCAGCAATAGAAACAACACAGGAAAGCATCAAAGATCAAGCCAAAAACACATAGAAAATTGGTCAGATACACCTTCAAAACCAAAAGAAAACAGGAGAGGTGTTTTCAACTTTTCAGATTAAGTGAAAGCATGTCTATAAGTGTAATCAAACCAGAGTTAACACATTATTACTGATCAAAATCTGAGGAACAGAGAATCACAGACCACAAGTGACTCACAAACCAATGACTCGGCCTTCCAGAAAAATCATTCACGTAGCAGAAAAAAACACACCACCATCTTAAGCAGCGCCCCAAGCCATTCAGCACTATACTGATTTATACCAATGACAGATTTCATAACATTCGGGAAACACATGAAATTAGAATAGAATATTTCAGTTGGAAGGGACCTACAACTATCATCTAGTCCAACTGCCTGACCACTTCAGGGATGACATAAAGTTAAAGCACATTACTAAGGGCATTGTCCAAATGCCTCTTAAACACTGACAGACATGGGGCATCAAGCGTCTCTCTGGGAAGCCTGTTCCAGTGTCTGACCACCCTCACAGTAAAGAATGCTTTCTAATGTCCAGTCTAAACCTGTCCTGGCTCAGCTTTGAACCACTCCCACGCGTCCTATCACTGGATTCCAGGGAGGAGAGACCAGCACCTCCCTCTCCACTTCCCCTCCTCAGGAATCTGCAAAGAGCAATGAGGTCGCCTCTCAGCCTCCTTTTCTTCAAACTAGACAAGCCCAGAGTCCTCAGCTGTTCCTCAAGGGGGTTGCTTCCAGCCCTTTCACCAGCTTTGTTGCCCTCTTTTGGACGCGTTTGAGGACCTGCACATCCTTCTCGAATTGTAGGGCCCAGAACTGCACGCGGCACTCGAGGTGAGGCTGCACCAGCACTGAATACAACGGGATAATCACCTCTTTTGACCGGCTGGGGATGCTGTGTTTGATGCACCTCAGGATGTGGTTTGCCCTCGTGGCTGTCAGGGCACACTGCTGATTCCTATTGAGCCCGCTGCCCACCAGCACCCCCAGGTCCCTTTCTGCAGGGCTGCCGTACAGCCCTCCTCTCCCAATTTATACTTGTGCCCAGCATTACTCCATCCCAGGTGCAGAATCTGGCATTTGGACTTGTTAAATTTCATCCCACTAATATTGCCCAATGCTCCGATCTATCTAGATCCCTCTGCAAGGCCTCTTGTCCCTCAAGACAGTCAACAGTGCCTCCCAGTTTGGTACCATCAGCAAACTTGTCAATGGTGCATTCAACTCCTCCATCTAGGTCGTTGATAAACATATAAAACAGAACTGGCCCTAGAATTGAGCCCTGACTGGTTGCCAGCCAGATGTAGCCCCAAGTTATTGATAAGAGCTCACCAAGGCAAAGTTTAGAGGTCTTCTACAACCAAAATAAGGTGATTTTCCATCATTAGATTTACAACATGCTCTGATTCCACTCACCAGGAGAAAAACCACATACCTACTAACCAATGCTGCACAGAAAAGTGAACAGCATGTATTACTTAAGCTGAATGGTAATTCAAACCACCAAACCACATCATGCACACCGGCAATTCACATTTTTAGTGAGCGGGGCCTGCCCAGGAGAAAAAAAAAAAAAAAAAAAAGGAGTCAGCAGAAACTCTAGGTTTTACTTCTGAAACGGCTGCAGAAATAAAATATGGCAGGTGAAAACCAGAATGTTGCTTCCTAAAATCATTCCACCACCACTCTGGGTGACTGCTGTGTGCCCTGCATGCTCTCCTCACATGTAAGGCAACCCTAGTTCCTCCTCATGTCTCATGCCAGCACTTGCTGCCTGACAGCTACAGTGAAAGAAAATGCTGTACAAGCCCAAAAGCTCTTCTATGCAAAATTTTGGCAGCTGAGACGGGAGTTAGGAGTCCCCGCACCACCTTCAACTTCAAATATTCTTGAATTACTGCCACCACTACAATTCACACCCTTGCTGCTGCTTCTGCTCCACCAGACCATGCGCAGAGAACTGCAAGTGAAGTGACATCTCTGCAAGAGTAAGTCAAAGAAAGAAAGAAACGGCAAAGATAAAAGTCAAGAACGCAGCAAGAGGCAAGAAAGATGGGATGCTGGAAATAAGAAGGCACATTTGAGAGCACTGTTCGCAGGCCAAGGAGAAAGAAGGCACAGTATCTGAAACACAGGGACAGTGCAAGGAAGCGCAGCTTATCAGGGCTACCATATTACCACCTACCAATGTCCACAAGACTAGGAAATAATAAATTACTCAGCACGGATGCCACAGCTCTGTATCATGTGCTCTGCCCTCCCTGTGCAGAGAGAGCTATGGCCCTGCGGCTGCCCGCAAGGCTCCTCACCCTCAGAGAGAAGGGTGGAGGACAGGTACGGTAACATACAACAGTAGGATGGGAAAGAGAGGATGGAGAGGGTTGTTCTGGGAGCACAAGGTTCTCCTAGAAAGCCAGTAGATGCCTAGAGGTGTCCGAAGTGGACAAGGTCAGTCACAGAAAGCTAATCAAGTGGGAAGAGACGCACTAGACAGGTGGGAAGCGACTCCTGCCCCCCACACGCAGCATCTCAAGACCCCACGCCTGTTCACGGGAACCGGCAGAAATGCAATACTTGCTGGAGCAGAAGCTCAGGTATTAGTATTCCAAACAATTCAAATAGTATTGCCCATCACTAGGCTAATGTTTAAAGTCGTTCCAAATTAATAATTGCCAGAGTTTAAATCTCCTTAATACAAAAGCATAAAGCCGAAAATTTCAGAACAAAACAATTTTATAAATCCAGATGTGCTGTTAAAATCCAGAGATTAGGAGGCTTAATCCTTTTTTGTTTGTTTGTTTTGTACACACCTAACATATTCATCATGTAATAAAGTGTTTCCCCACCAACAACTTATTCAACTGCTTCTCTCAAAAAAACCTTCCATTTTGCAAATTCCATTTTTAAACTACAGAACTACCTGGAAATAAAAGGCATTACAAGTCATAAGAATTTCTCAAATATTTCTTAGCAAAAACTTCCCTTTGCTTAAGAGTTCAACATGACACACACCAACACATAAGTAATCTACATATCAGTCATCTGTAAGCCTTTTTAATGAGTCATAAAAAATTAGCCAGCTTGGAAGTTCAGAAGAAAACAGAGATCCTGCTCAGATTAATGAGTTACCAAAGAAATCAGGGTACAAGATTACCCTTATGTTCTTTGACTGCTTCTGCCATTTCCAAAAGCTCTTTGAGGTTTGCATTTTTTTAGTTTGCTATACAAAGATGCATGGGAAACCAGAACTTCTGCTTTACAGACTGAAAAATGTGTATTAAAGCAACATTTACAGGAAGCTCTTCTCATTGCTCACTAAAACCTGGAAAGGTCAAAAGAAGGATACAAGAGCTATTATTATAATTAATCCCCCATTTTATGAAGATCAGATGGAGGAAATGCTGTATTTTAGGCTTTATCTAAAACCAGGAGACTGATAATAGCTTTCACGCAATGAAGAAAGGTCTTAGAAATCTTAATTTAAAAAAAAACAAACACCAAAACTGTGATTTATCTATAAAGATCATGAAGTTCACATCCTAAAATGTGTGTGCACATATACAGTAAATAAAGTTAGGTGGTTTTCTTTCATATTAGCTGACATAAAGAAAAAAGCAAAAAAGTGATCACTACCATAAGAAAATCACTTTTTAAATTTTTCCTTAGAGGACACAGTGGTGAACAGTACACTGGAGTCCCCAGTCACAGACACGCGGCACCCCAGTCATTCTCCCGTCTGTGTTCAAGGCTGACTTGGACAGCGGAGCTGTACAGCCCCGCATCAGAGCGCCGTCCAAGCAAGAGCTGCGGGAAGGCTCAGCCGCAGCGGGAGCATCCCCCTTCCATCCCGAGCTGATTTACAGCTGGCCACAAGCCCTTGACCCCTGCCCATGCTGTGTCACAGCCGTCCTCACCCCCCTTGTCAGTGATTGATGATCTTAAAGGTCTTTTCCAGCCATAACGGTTCTATGATTCACTGGGTGAATTTTTTAAGAGTCAGATAACTGTCATGTGCTGAGTCCTATTCAGTGGAACTGATATGCTCCCGTTTGTTTAAGTAGAGAAATGTAGCGGCACTGCTCTGAGATGTGCTTTCTACTGTCAGGTTCCCAAGACTGCAGTAGAAAGTTGTAAAAGAGACAACTGAGCAGAAGATACGATACTGGGCTCTAGTCATCAATGCCAATGAGAAGGTGAACTGGGATGGCTGTTCTGTCTCTTCCAAAGCAAGAAGTAAGAGGCCTGATATAAAACAAGCAGGAGACAGGTTCAAAACAAATATAGGGAGGTATTTTTTTTAGCCAACACATAGCTGAGGTGTGGGACTTCCTGCCAGAGTGCTGGGGGTGCCAGAAATATGCCTGGTTTCCCAAAGTGATCATCACACCCATCAGCAGAAGAAAAAACACACTCAGGGTTCTGAAATATGAAGACACCATTTCGATTCAGGAATTCCCACAGTGACACGTCACTGGAAGCTGGGAAAGCATTTTTATTTTTCATTGTTATATGCTTGCCCTGCTCCAAAACCCTTGGTAGACTGTTGGCCATCACTGGAAACAGGATGGTAGGCCCAAGAGTTCTTTCTTGCAATGCACTTGGTGGCTTGGTTTTTCAATTTTTATATAACGTAGCTTCCAACTTCAAAATTGCAATTCCTCCCTGCACCTTCAAAAGGAATCAGTGCCAGAAGCACCCTTGGGGCTATTTTGTCTTTTTTCTTCAGAAAACTGAACTGCCTTTAATAAATGAAACTGCCATTGTATTTTTTTTCAGTGAGACATAAAACACACTGGCCTCAGTGAAGACAGCTGCCATTTTTTCCACTGTGAAAGTTAGGAGTGCCTGGGGAAAACACAGTAGACCTGGAAATGAGGTTAAGGACATGCAAAAAGAGAAAATGCATGGAAACAAGCTACAGGAAATTTTGAAGAATCGGAGGAAACATAAAAGAATCAGAAAACGAGAAGGGGGGCATCAAGGGAGTAAGAAAGGCCAAGAGGGCAAATGTAGGATGCATGGAAAGTAAATGGAAGATGGAAGGCCGTGCAACAGCGTGAGAATTGTAACACTGAAAAAAAATATGATTTTATGGGAAAAAAAATCCACATTATCTGTAATGAGCGAATGTGGTATTACTGAGGACTTGAAATGACATGTAAATAGGAAGGGAAAAATGTCCTTGGAAAAAGAAATCCCACTGAAGGACACTCTTCCTCTGCCATAGTATTTAACTGAAGGTAATATAACGAATTTGGGGAGTCCAATGATTTTTAGAACATTTTATTGCCAATAGTATCAGAAATACCGCATATAGCAACTGAATTACAGAAAAATACGTGCACTTAAGTCAGAAATACACTTCTGCAGGTTTGCTAACTGCTTTGAAATCTGTATGTAAGTCATCTCAAGAGTTGATGTATCCTACCTAGGTCCTGATTGGTGCTTAGGGACATGGTTTAGGGGTGGTTTTGGCAGTGTTAGGCTGATGGTTGGACTTGATGATTTTCAAGGTCCCTTCCAACCTAGGCAATTCTACGATTCCAAGTGATCCACAGCTTAAGAGTCGAGGTGTGGAGCGCTCCTACTCCACACTTCTAGTTGTGTGCTCCTGTCAGCGCTACCTGTAACTCTATCACCTGGTTTCCAAAAGCTTCCAAGCACAAAAAAAAAAAAAAAAAAAAAAAAAAAAAAAAAAAATTTACAAAACTTCTGGAAGAAGATCAACTTTGAGTCGGGCCGTCACAACTTTTTGTCGGCAACCCAACAACTAACCCACCATTACCAGTCCCGCGCCGTGAGGTGCAAGGGTTTGTTACTGGGATGCTCAGGTATTTGGGGACCTTATCGCTCCTATACCTGAATTTATAGCCATGCCGTGATGCTGAGTGACATCACCGCTGCCGGCACAGCCTTATCATACATCTGCCGAGGCGGATCGTCCTCCCGGCGGCGGGAGCGGAGCCCAGCCCGGCCCGGGAGGCGCCGTACCCCCGCCAGGCCCCGCCGCCGCCATCGCCCCGCGAGGTCGCGGCCCCGGCGCTGGC